AAGCAAATTGAGCAACTAATTCCCGCTCGGAGAGAAAACATGTTCAAAGAATTGGAGGTATTTTAGAATTTTTTATTTCTTTCTTTAAGCTTACAATGCTATTCCAACAACTATTTCTTCTGTGCACAAACCTAGCTTATGTAAGAATTAGGGTGTTAAAATTTTTGCATGCTGGTTACAAAATGCAACAATAATGCTATATTTTGTAGACCATGGTGCATATGAAAATAAGGACCAAATAACTCTGTACGGTTCATGCAAACATACAGGGAAGCCAGTGACAAATCTGGTTCTGTTCCAAAGATTTCCAGGTTCCATCTGGACATACAAAAGTACAAAAAGTAAATCTGGATATAGGATGACTAATTTTGATCCAAATGGATCAGCCACATTAGCGAGATAAACTTCACGTTGATATGATAAATAACCATCCCTCTTTGTTCTTTGTCACCTTTAGCAAAGCGATTAACATTAAATATTGAAGTTATGCTGTAACCCAATTCCTGTGCTGAAGTGCGTCAACCGAAAATGGATGGAATGTTTATTATTCCTAAATCTTGTGATACAGGGTGTGTGGAAAACGGAAAAGGAAATGTTAAGGTTTTAGGTCAATTACCAGACCTATAGGTAGCTACCCTTTGTTAAAGACAAGTGATTTAGATCTTTTAAATACAGCCAGTCTCGTATATTGTTTGATTATATAAAATTAAGGTATCACCATTAATGATTGGGTCTTAAGTTTTTCTTTCTTGCTTGCTCAGTTGTCTGGCTTTTCATTGAGAGAGGAAGCAGGTCAGGTATAAGGAAGATTTCAGCTTGGTTCGTGCTTATTTAACATTGTCTCGTACATATAAACCATTATATTTATTCTTATAAATGAATACATTTAGCACCCAACAGAGAAAATAAATGAAAATGTTTTTGTAAAAGAATACAGTATGAGACTGTATTGCAGTGGTGTTCTGTTAAATAATGAAAATAGTTCTTAGATGACATTAGAAAGGACTGGTTTGTAGTTCTGGGTTCTTTTGCCCATATGCATCCTTTAAAAATGATAGTGTAATATATTATTATAGATTTAGGGTGTCCAACCTTGTCAATCTTTAAAACTTGTGGATTTCAACTCCTAGAATGGCTGGCTGGGGAATTTGGGGAGTTGAAGTCCACAAGTTTTAAAGTTGACAAGATTGGACATTCTTGTTATAGATGCTAACTACTCAATATGGAATTATATATACATTATTTAAACTCTAACATGTTATTACGTATGGTATATAAGCAAACTTAAGAAATATAAGACTTGTGGCCCAAGGACTTTATGACTTCAGCCCACTTGACATTGGTTTCACCCACTTTAATAATGACTATATCTATTTTTTTTTAAGGCTTAGTCTGCATCTTCTAGAACAGTGTTTCTCAACCTTGGTGAATTTAAGTCCTGTGGACTTCAACTCCCTATGCTGGCTGGGGGATTCTGGGAGTTGAAGTCCATAGGACTTAAAGTCACCAAGGTTGAGAAACACTGTTCTAGAATGTATAATCAGTGTTGATTAAAGTAATTAAAATAGTAAAATGGGGAAAAAACCCACCTCTATTCCAATATAGTTACATTCAGGAGACACATCAAATATTAAACTAGCAGTAATAATATATTTAAAGTTGTTATAATGTCATCCATTATGATACTGTGTACTGTGCTAATAATAGTTCTCCAAGACTTCAAGACCTTTTGCAGCCCTGTTATCTGAGGCACTTCAATTGAATTTAGGACTATTTTTGCTATGTATTCTATTTTATGTAAAAGATATCTGGAGATTTTTGGGTATTAACGTATTCAAAGATATGTTCTTGAGTACTCCTTTCCCCACTGATATTACATTCCCCCAACAGTGCAGAATATAGGTTATGTAATGAATTTTTGTCAGCTGGAGTATAGAGAATTTTATTAATGGGATTTGGCTAGCTGGCACTGAAGGGCTTTAAAATGCAGATCATTAGCAGAATTTCAAGGCTCAGAGAATTGGGACATTTTTGCCCTAGAATGATAGAAAAACTATTAAGTTAATCTACAAAGCCAGAAAATCCTGATCATGAGAAACGTCTGAATGCAGCTGCTCAGCCAACAGCTTTTCTTATCACTAGTTTGTCGAGTGCCGAAAAAGTTACACAGAAATGTCGCGCACGTGCATGCGCTTGGTGGGGCTCAGGCTCCGGAAAAGCTGAACTTCCGGGTTCTAGAGTGCTTGTGTGCCTGACTATCAGCTGGCCGGCACGCATGCTCAGGCCAGTTTTCGGCATCAGAAACCCGGAAGACTAACAGGCAAGGTTGCGCATGCCAGGCGACATGGCTTCGTGCGCCACTTTGGGCACACGTGCCATAGGTTCACCAGCATGGAATTAGTGTGTCCCGCTGTGTACTTGTACTGGTTGAATGTATGTTCATGTCTTAGCAATAAGATCAAAACTAGGATTTTTGTTTTCCTTATGAGGCATTATTCAGGATGTGGAACATACTGAATAGGTGGGAGTGACTTGAACATGTGTACCATGTTGCAATTGGTGCTCACAATCCAAGATTCTGCAGGTTATAAAATCATCTTGGGGGCGTGGAAACAAAAAAAAACAACAGAGCCACTTTTTGAAGGCCAGTTTTAAGATTTGGGAAGCACAGTGAAAATTTATTGTACATATCAGCATGCCAGCGTTTAAAACCAACTTTCTATTCTTTCCCTTGGGGAAATTATTTTTAACATTATTTAGGTTTTATGCTATGAGTTTCCTACCTCAAAATGGAAGGACATTTTGATTGTGGGGTGAGAGAAAATTACTGATTCAGTAATTCTGGGAGAAAAAAATTCAAGAAAGGTTTTCATGTGGTCCTGGACACGCAAGATGCTCATCCCTGGTATAAAATGCTAATGTGGAAACAATCTACAACAGAGGTGTCAAACTTGCGGCGTCACGTGATGTATCGTGACTTTTTTCTCCTTCGCTAAATCGCGGGTGGCATGGCCAGCGCATGATGCATCTGGCCCCTGGGCCGTGAGTTTGACACCCCTGATCTACTACTTTTTCCAGGTACAAAGTTGGAGAAGTTAGTGCATTTTGCTTTTCTCAAATAAGGTGACTAGATCAGGCCTGCGAAAACCCACAAGGCCATAAGAAGGCAGCAAAGTGTTTGCATTGTCTATTATTTCCTATCAGATTTGGTAGCTCAGCTTCAAGAAACAAGTATAACTAATACTTGTTTCTTGAAGCATAACTAATAGAGGCAGTAGTATAAAGTAAGAAACTGGGCAGTAGAGTTTAGAAAGAAATGTAGGAGTACAAATCTTGAATCATTCTCCGTGTAACTATCAAAAGACATAGGCTGTAACCCATAGGCATGTATTATTTTTCATGGCTTTGCACTGTTCAGTCTTTGACCTTGTTCCCACCTAATTTTGTTAGCAATAGCAATAGCAGTTAGACTTATATACCGCTTCATAGGGCTTTCAGCCCTCTCTAAGCGGTTTACAGAGTCAGCATATTGCCCCCAACAATCTGGGTCCTCATTTTACCTACCTCGGAAGGATGGAAGGCTGAGTCAACCTTGAGCCTGGTGGGATTTGAACAGCCGAACTGCTGAACTGCAGTCAGCTGAAGTAGCCTGCAGTGCTGCACTCTAACCACTGCGCCAACTCGGCTCTGTTTCATATGGTATTCATTCAATTTTCAAACTAACCAGAAAATAAATGAAAAATTCCCAATGGAGTAGGTAGAATTTCAGATATTCAGTTTTTATTCATAAATGCATATACAAGAGATGCATTGTGTTTTAGAGTGAGACTTGGAAGTAATGAATCTCCAAAGCAGCTTAAAAGAAGTAAATAAAAACAATGGCAAAGAAAGGTCTGGCACTGTGTGAACAATATATTTGATGTTGTTGAAAATCAAACACTGTGGTGTGATTTTTGTTGAAAATCAAACATTATGCTTGTGTGGTCAGGACCTCACCCAGCATATTACTGTGTCGAATCAAAAATTCTTTGGCAATTGATTTACCTTTTAAAAAAGTAAGAGAACAGAACATCTGAGAATTACAGTAGGTGTCCATTTATTTCTTGGCAACTCCATATTTTAAATGTAGAAACATGAAAATAAACCAGTTCTATTGGCAAGCTATTTCCAAAACCTTGTAGCTCCGTACAAGTTTCTTTGTTTAATGAATGAATAGACGTTGTGGGGAAATAATATTACTTTTTAAATTATTATTTTTAGCAGACTGAAGATATTTTAAGAAATAGAGGTGCCTGCAGTGTGAAGAAAATTGTTATTTAGAGAGCTAAATGCAGCTAGTCAACTTAATAACAATTGAGCCCAACATTACTGTTGATAGGTGAGGCAGTTTTTAAGTGAGTGCACTTTATTTTATGACCTTTTCAGCCACAGTTGTTAAGTGAATCAGGCAGTTGGTAAGAGATTCTGGCTTCCCCCGTTGGCTTTGCTTCTCAGAAGTCAGCTGGGAGGCTACAAATAGTGATCACATGACCCCGGGAAAGTGCAATGGTCATGAATACAGTATATGTCAGTTGCTAAGTGCCCAAAATTTGATCATGTGACTATGGGGATGTTGCAATGCTCATAAGCATGAAAGTCATTGTTTTCAGTGTTGTTGTAACATTTAATAGTCACTTTAACAAATAGCTGTAAGTCAACTATAGACAGTTTGGTCAAATGGTTAAAACACTGGAAAGCAGGAGATCATGAGTTCTAATTCTACATCAGCCATTTAAAACCAGCTCGGTGGCCTTGGGCCAGTCCCGTTCTTTTAGCCCAACTCACCTCACAGGGGTTGTGGGGCAAATAGGGGAAGGAAAGTGTGTTGGATATGTTTTCTGCTGGATATGTTATTTGTAAAAATAATAAAAGGCGAGATACAATAAATAAAAAATAAAAATTAAAACATAATTCTTTCATGAAACATTCTGACTCAAAAATAAAAAAGAGCACTCTAAAAGTAGCCTTCTGCAGAAAGTTGTGCTTTATTGGATTTTTTTTTCCAGCTACAAGTTTAGCTGTAGCTATACATGATATCACATTTAGAAGATATGCATGCATCTCCTACAAAGCTAAGTACAAGATAAATGATTTGCTAAACAGTTGCAAAATCAGCCAACTACCATAACACAATATTTACATACAGCCATATTATATCCTTATACTTTCACAGTAATGTGCAAATGTTACAAATATGGCTTTTTTTTTCTAAAAAAAGGAAGTAAGACATAATTGTACAGAGTAATATTTCTAAATAGTTAGGACTGTTTCACTTTTTTGTGAAACCGGTTGAGTTTCCATTAACTGTACACTGCACTTAGTTGCCACTTATATTACTGTGGCATAGGTCACACATATTTCCTAAGGCACAATATTAATGTTAGATGCTTTAAAAATGAAGCCATGCTTTTTCTGTTTATGTGGATGACTAAACTAGCTACATGGTAACATGGCTGTACAAAATAAATGTTAAACATTATTATTACTTGCTTAAGTTTATTTGTATCTATTAACATGAAACTACCGTATTCTGAAACAATGATATACAGGGTTGCATATTAAAACATTTGGTAATATGGGTTGTACATTTAGCAGAGAGTTATAAGGCTTCAGTGGAATAATCATCTTATAACTGAACAAATATTTTACATTCTTCAGTAGCGGTATTTACAATGGCTTTAACTCATTCTTTGTCATTTGGGAATTAATACATATTTCATACACATCCTTCTTCACTGTCTAAAGTGCTTGCTTATCAGCGTGAGATTAAAAAAAAGAACATAACTGTTTGAAACAAAACAATACAGAAATGGCATTTCTTGGGATCTGGACTGAATTCCTAGAAGAAGAAATTATTGCTAAATTCAAAACCTTCAAAAGGCAACTAAATATACTAAACATATTAGGTTTGTGTATGTGAACACACACACACATACACACACAATATATATAAATATATATGCATGCGTATATGCTAAGTTGCTACATGCATATACATCAATTCGTTGAGCAAAAGTTAGATTTTTTTCCCCAAAAGTTTTTGTCCATCAACCTTAATCTTTTGTGCTGTTCAGTTAATTTGTGCTATGCTGAAACCAAAGAGAAGTAAAAATATTGACACGCTAGTTATTACTAACTGTTCTACAATACCTAAGCAAAGAAATGTGACAGGCTGGAAATGTACAGCTGAGATGAGAATTTGGTTTAAAAATGCACCATGAATAAGGCAGCAGGATGTCAAATACAGTTCAAGAGAGAAAACCGGGCGGGAAAAACACACCTGGAATTCAGACACATCATTTTACTTTCAAGAGGATTCTTCTATCTATACCAATTGACAGTTTTTGTGCCTAGAAATACTTTGGATGGCAACGACTTCAACACTGCCAATGCAATTCCCTGATGCCACAAACTAACAAAATAAGGCACTTCCAGGTTTGTTGTCCAGTAGAGCCCGAAAGAAACAAAATCAGTTTTCTGAGATTGGTTATCAGTTTGATCACATTTCCTATTTTAACCATAAAATACTCCACGCTGTATTCATTTCCAATATTTTCCTTGAGATGATTTTTAAAAGGAGGCATTTTTTTAGCTGAAGTCAACCGGTTCCTTTATATATATATATATATGCATAGACAAAGAGATGAGGTAATTGTCAGCTCCAAACAGTCAACAAAATGGAAGACTAGAATGGTACCGGGGATTATCTTCCAATTATTTGATGTGGATATCTCAGCTAAATTGCTAGTTGGCCACTTGTTAGTGGACATGGGTGCTGGAAAGATCATTCCTTATTATCTCATTTACTGCAAAAGAGAGAGAGAGAGAGAGAGAAAGAAACAGAATTAGAGATTATTTGATTGCATCCTTCCAACATTCTCTTGTGCAAAAGTAACATCCTAAGGCATTTCAGACTAACTGACATAAGCAAGCAACAGTTTTCAAATGGTCTAAGAATAACATTGTCCCAAGCAATCATGCTAACTTGTATGCAAAATAAGGGATCCCATTAGAAAAGTAGGACTTGGGTCTTGGATATAAGGCATTCATCACATTATTATTTACAGGAAAAGAAAACATTAGGGACATTTCTGAACACAAATATTATCTGACTTTCTATATAAAAACACTCATCTGCTGCAAATAAACTGCCAAAGTTGCAAGCATAGTACCCAAAACTAGAAGGTGCAGTCCTGAATCCTTGAATATTTATTCTAAGACATTTGAAGTGGGATTCCATAAATTGATATTTCCACAGTTGAGCCGATGAAACAGGGAGGGAAGAAAGGAACTAAAAGTGGTGTTTTTGCTTTGTCAAAAATGGTATTTACAACATGCATAAATTTTCCTTAATGGTCAATTATACATGCATACGTTAAAGAAAATCCATCAGGAGTATTTCTATCTATACAATATTTCGAGAGAATGTAGTAATATCAGCATAACCTGCATGGATTGATAGCACAGTATTATTGTTGCTTGTGGTTCTTTTTCTCCTCCTCTTGCTCTGTGTAAGTTTCCCACACTCCGGTTATGTCCATTTAGCACTTGTGATTTTTGGCAAATGAACAGGAAATGACTGAACCTGGCAAAGGCCATCAACAGTGAGCTGCACAACATCCCTCTATTTTCATCTCCTGGCGGCCCCTGCCATGACTTGATTGACACTGAGATAGGCAAAATGTCATCAGTACGGCTGTCACCACTTTAAAGCTTTCCTAATATCCCGGGGAAGGGGAAACACAGGCCCACGTCATGGAACCATCCTGGGAAAGCCCATATTTCCCTTTGCTTGAAAGCTGTTGATCATTCCTGTCCAGATAAGTCCATGTGTTTGTGCAAGAGGAATCCACGCAAACTGTGGATTTGCACTGTTGAACTTTTCAGAAAAGCACGTGAGACTGGTTTAGTATTTTTCATAGAAAGGGCTTAAATCAGAAATCCCAGACTGCCAACGAGATAACAGATACCGAGGCATGGAATCTGCCATTTTATTTATAAACTCCAGAGGTGTCTTCCCTACTCACTTGCAAGGTTGAGTCTCTCAACCTTGGCAAATTTAAGATGTCCCAGAATTCCCAAGCCAGGGTGTTGAAATTCACACATCTTAAAGTTGCTATAGTTGAGTAACACGGCTTTACACCAACAAAGCAGTTTGCAGCAAAAGGCATTTATAACAACCTGCATGAACTCCAGAAAAGATACTGCAGCTCTAAACTAAGTTGGGCTGGATGACTGGAGAAATGAGCTGGGCCCCATTAGCTCTGCTGTTCCACAGCATTAAATTGAACAACTGGTGGATTTGACTGGCCACACAAGTTGCCTTATTAGACCTAATATACAACCTGAAGTGTGTTTCCTGCATCTCCACCTGTTTCTTAGCCTCGCCCTGGCTGTGCTATCCACTTCTTAAACATTAGACCTCTATCAGCTTGGGTTAAAACTAGACTAGTGGTGTACCCACACATCTGACCAAGACTTAACACCTTAGAAAATTATAATGTGACAAAATTATAACATGGCAAACAATCTAGTAAAAAAACCCAAAACCATAGACTCTCTCTCTCTCACACACACATATACATGGAATATGCTGGACCTTTTAAGGAATGCTAATAGAGGCTATGTTTTATGCAAACACAAATATAACCGCCTGCATTATGTACACGTCCAGTCTATGTGTCATCAGTACTCCAAAGACGCAGAAGAGCTGGAAAGAAAGGAGTAGTTTAGTAGGTAAGTATGCTATAGTAAACACAGTTGCTAACAGAAGTCAATTAGGGGAAAAATGAACAAAACCAGGAAAATCCCTGACTGCTCACAATCAATTTTCCAGCACATTATACCAACACCAGTAATATGCGAATGAATATGCAATACAGATGTACTAAATTGACTTTTAGTCTGGCTTCATTTATTTACAATGAGAAGGTTCCTGTTCATAACAAAGGGAATATTTCATCTATCAGGTTTAAGAAAACATTAATCTGGCATACGATACAAGATATCTGTCGAAATCTTTCTCCATCAAATCTGAGAAGTCCATACGTCTGTCAGGAAACAGAGCCAATGCCTTCTCCGTGGTGCTGGTTACATTAGGGGCAAGGGCCACATACGAACCAGCAGTTAATATTCGTCTTTAACACTCCTGGAATAGAATTGGAAACTGTATTGACGGCTCAGTGTCCTTCACCAGTTAAGACAGCTGGGAGAAAATATTTTATTTTCAATGGTCATTTCATTATCTTGCCTGAAGTGAAACCCTATTAGTGTACGGCTCCTTCTACCAACTCCTACAGCCCAATTCCACATAGAAGGAGTTGACGCTTTATAACCACTACACGCCACCAATGCCACTCCTGAGGCACTGTAGGCTCCTCCCACGAGGAGGAATCCATAAATTTCCATGCCAAACAGATTTAAAAAGTATGAATTATCTCCCTATATGTGATGAACCCTAGCCAACCAAAGTATCCGGTTGTCACTAGGAACAGAACAATCGTACCCATCTCTACTTGCATCCATTACAGCTTAGTCCTAAGTAAATGAGGACAATTTGAAAACTGCTTGGACAACAAATCCCCGTTAATGCAAAGTGTGCACCAGTGTTCCTTGGGCAACTGATAGGACAATACACAGACATCGATAAAAATGTGGTTCTGAATTCATTCCCTCAGGAAGTGTCCGAAAGTAAAAAGAAAGAAATTTCATGTGAAGTCTGAGGGAGAGTTGTTGAGAACTAAATCCAACTGAGTTCAATGAATTGTTCCAAGGTAAAAGGGTGTGCAGGATTGTAATTTGTGTCAAGTTGAAAACAAAGTATTTCACTTTAGTGTCTGTTTTTCTGGTGCATTTCCAGTGGATCCAATATCAAAGGATAAGACATCAGTGTCTTTATTCCTTTTATCAATGGCGCAATTTGTGGAATGTAGAATGTGAATCCTGACCCATTTATATGATATTTACTGTGGTTACTTTATTCTGAAATACAGGATTATTTTATTTCTGAAGCATTGGATTCCAAACTGCTAGAAATTACCTATTTGGTTCAGAAATCTTCCTATATATTATGTTCTTCCGTTCATGATTTCTCTCCCCGTTTGGAGACAAATGTGATAATAATGTTTTTTGGGAATAAGGTATTTTTTTATGTAGGTTAAATTGATTTTTCAACTGAGCTAATTTACAGGCATAGGAAGAGAAGTGAAAAGTTGAAAATCATACCATACATTTGAGACCAAATTAAATTTCAAACTAGAAACTTTGATGTGCAGTAGTTATGATGCAATCATATACAGTATATACAATATATGTTTAAACTGAGAAGGACAAATTAATTCAAATGGCTTTATTTTAAGTAAGGATATATAACATTGTAGCCTAGAATATTCCTATTGCAGTCTAGAATATTCCTATAGGTGAGCAGTTCTTCCTAGAAATGCTTTGCGTATCTTTTAAAAATATGTATTATCTGATGAAATTATCAAGTTAACACCCAGTTTCCCAAAACATTTTCCAATTTTACAATGTGATAGTTTCCATAGTCATGCTCACTTTTCCACTGACATATTTTTTTTTAAAAAAGTATGTATAAAGTTTACAATTGAGCACAAAAGTCACAAGAATGAAAGAGAAATGCTTTGTTTTGTAGTCACATTACCTGTCAAAGGCCTGAAAAAGGAACTTTTCTGTTGCTTAACACATAAAAGGCCACTGCAACAGGATGTGGCAAGCTGTTACACTACAGTTCACAAAATGGGTTCTTAAATGTCTTTAACGTTGAAAAGAAAATATTTTCAGAAAATATGACTAGGTTATTTTCCTTTCCCTTTTTCACAGCAGATCTAATATATTTATAAAATTAACTCAATAAAGTTTTAAATGTTTTGATTGTAAAAGCAAAATATAAACATAGAAACTATTTTAAAAATTATCTCGCCTTTCTAGAATACTAAGTTGAACTCCTTTTAGTAGTTGAGAAGCACTGTGTTATTTCTGATAATATAAAACCTTATGTACATATCATCTTGATCCTAATGGAAACTTATAATTTTTTATTAACTGTAATATTGCTAAATTATACATTATATATACAAAATTATAAATTACATATGTTTTTCACTTAAAAGTCCCAGGTTTTCCTAAAATAACCAGGTTTATGGCAATGAAATTAATTCCAAACCAAAGAGATATAAATTTGTAGATTGATGTGCATGGTTTAATGAGGAAAAGAATACAAGTTCAGATTTGCTATGGCTTTCTGTAATGAGATATAAATGAAGGACTTTGTCATCTAAATCTGTAAGTTTAAAGTATGGATTACAAAAATACCTGCAATTTTATAACTCAAGATTAATGTTCCTATTGAAAAACCGGACTCTAGATTTTTTTTTCTAGTTTGATTTCAAAAGAATTTGGCAATGGTTAAAATAATCATACAGTAGGGGAACTCTAGGAATTGTATCACATGCTGTGTTAGGTTGTTATGCTATGCTATGCTATCCTATGCTATATTAATATAATATTCAGTTAGTTTTAAGAGCTTCTATCTTTTGATTGACAATTAATGAAGAGATGCTTGAAGAGTGGGATGTAGTAGCCTCATTCCTAAATCAAGACTGTGGTTTAGCTAAATCCCATCTTAAGGACAAAATGGTCAAAATATTTAGAAACAGCCAGTTTAACTGCATATTAAATTCTATTTCAATCTCAGTGCAGAACATGTGTTGGCAAATTGCCTCGTGCAGGCCCTACCAAGTAAGCATTAAACATTATTATTAACCAACTTTAATCAACATGTATTTTT